ATTTTTTAAAAAGCACAAGAAACAGCCTAGATCAATTTTGGATTGTTTAAATAATTTTGTTATGCTCATACAATGGAAAAGTAGGTGCTATAGACTGAATGTGCCCCTAAAACTCATATATTTAAATCCTAATCCTCTATGTGATGGTAACGGTGGGGGGCTGGGCGGCTTCTGCAGGTGATTAGGTCATGAAGGTGGAATCCTCATAAATGAGATTAGTGCCCTTATAAAACAGACCCTGGAGAGCTCCCTTCCTCTTCCAGCTGTGAGGAGACAGTGAGAAGGTGGCTGTCGATGAACCAGGAAGTGGGTTTTCACCAGACAGCAAATCTGCTGACTTCTTGATCTTGGATTTCGTAGCTTCTAGAACTGTGAAAAATAAATTTCTGTTGTTTATAAGCCAGTTAGTCTGTGGTATTCTGTCATAGCAGTCTGAGCTTAGATGCCAGGTAACATTAAAAAGGATCATGTAGAAATATCTTCTTTGACATGGAAAAATTTTCGTAATAGCTTATAAATTGAAAATGGGAAGTTACCTTGTTGCTTAAGTATCAAGTACAGGGAAATGCAAGCCGTGACTTTGTTCTGACTCTGGGCAAGAAACTTGACCTCATACAATCTCAGTTTTCCCATCTGTTATGGGCTGAATTGTGTCCTCCAAATTCATATATTGAAGTCCTAACCCCTAGTACCTCATGGAGATAGGGCCTTTAAAGGGATAATTAAATTAAAATGGGTCATTAGGGTAGGCCCTAATCCAATACAACTGTGTAGGGAAGGAAAAAACTTTTTCTCTACCCTTTTATGTTTAGTATCTGGGGCATGCAAACTAAACTGACAAAAAACACATCAACAGGAGAGAAGACATGCGATTTTATTAATACTTAAAATTTTATGCACATAGGGGATTCACAAAAAAGAAATGAAATAGTCAAAGAGCAGACAGAGGGCCAGCCCCATGGCCGAGTGGTTAAGTTTGTGCGCTCTGCTTAGGTGGCCCAGGGTTTCACTGGTTCAGATCCTGGGCATGGACATGGCAGTGCTCATCAGGCCATGCTGAGGTGGTGTCCCACATGCCACAACTAGAAGGAACCACAACTAAAATATGCAATTATGTACTGGGGGGATTTGGGGAGAAAAAGTGGGGGAAAAAAAGAAGATTGGCAACAGTTGTTAGCTCAGGTGCCAATCTTTAAAAAAAAAAACAAAACAAGAGAAAAAAAAAGAGCAGACAGACTTGGGGGCTTATATACCATTGTAACAGAGGGTAATAAATTGTGGAGAAGTGACTAGGAAATATATGGGGGTAAGATATGTTCTAATGGAAGACAAGAGTTATTTTAGTAAGGTCTGTTTATGCAGACTCATCTCAGCATTGACTCCTTGTCTCCAGTGATCAGAGTGCTCTCTTCTCCTCTTCCTGGTACAGGGAGAGTACCTTTCTCATGGGAAATTTATGCCCTGCTTTTATGCAAATGGGGGAGAGCAGAGAGCTTTTTCTGTGTCCTTCATTTCTCAGTTGCCTTCAGCTCAAAATAATCAGTGGCATATTTTGGGATATCGTTCTTATCCCCTTCAACTGATGTCCTTATAAGAGGAAATTGGATACAGACGGGTAAAGAGGAAAGACCACGTGGACACAGTGAGAGGGTGGTACCTACAAGCCAAGGAGAGAGGCCTTGGAAGAAACCAACCCTGCTGACTCCTTGATCTCAGACTTCTAGTCCGCACAACTATGAGAAAATAAAATTCTGTTGTTTAAGCCACCCAGTTTGTGGTACTTTGTTACAGCAGTCCTAGCAAATTAATCAACCATCTATAAGATCGGGAAAATTTTAATACCATCTTTAGTTAGCTTTCAAGGTTGCACTGAGTCAAAGAGATGTAAATCCCTTTGTAAACTATAAAGCAATACACAAATGTGAGTAGTTGTTATTCACATGGTTCCTGACAAACCTGGAGGAATGCAGTCATCTTGTTAAGAGTGAGCTTTATAACCCTTTAGTAAGGCAGAGGCTCTGTTCCCATATGGGGGATGGGCAGAAGCAGGCGATCTCAGTAAGACTGCAGGAAAGAACACAGTAACTTGCCAGTGAAAGGGAGAGGCAAAATAAAGAGAATGGTTTCTTATACCCATGCTGCAAGTTGTTTAAAAAAAATACCTAAACTACATATAATAATAATAGCTAATATGTACTGAGCACTTACTAACTACCAAGCTTGAGCTCAAGTACTTTTTATAAATGTTCTCTAATTAAATCTCTTATCAACGCTGTGGTAAAAGTATTGTAGCTGTATGTGTGTGTGTGTGTGTGGGAGTGTATATATATATATATATATATATGTTTACTTGCGTGTGTGAGTGTGTGTATGTTATCTATTTTGGTCTCTTCCATTACAACACATACCTTCAATACGAAAATTTGTTCATATGTAGTAGACCAAAAGTAATAAAATTGCCAAAATGAGAAGTCATGGTTTTTCAAGAGATGACTATGTTTTGCACTACTGCAGAACGTGAAAAGCACTACCTGACTGAACAAAGCGCCTATGGTAAAATGCACAACACACACCCACCTCGTCTTCTCACTCTTACTCCAGCGCACCCCACGCATTGCCCTAAGAGTATGTGCACTGTTCTTTTGTGTTTATTTCATGATAAGCATATTGAATATTAAACTGTATCAGCATCCTGGTTATAAGAATCTCAAGTAGGGGCTGGCCCCATGGCCGAGTGGTTAAGTTCGCGTGCTCTACTTTGGTGGCCCAGGGTTTCGTCAGTTCGGATCCTGGGCGCGGACATGGCACCGCTCATCAAGCCATGCTGAGGCAGCATCCCACATGCCACAACTAGAAGGACCCACAACTAAAACACACAACTATGTACCGGGGGGCTTTGGGGAGAAAAAAGAAAAATAAAATCTTTTTTTTTTTTTTTTAAAAAGAATCTCAAGCAGTGAGTAAAAAGAAAAGACAAGTTTTGAGAAGAAAATTGAAATAATAAATTGTTCTGAAATAAATGAGAGAATTTGCAGGCCTAGGGAATCCATATTGCCCAATTCAGGAAGAATGCTGAGAAAATAAATGAAAGGAGAGCTTGTGCATCCCAGTTATCATCTGCTTCAGGTGGAACTGGAAAGTACTTGGAAGAGACTGAAGATAAAGACTCTAATGCCAAGTAACGCCAAGTATAGTTGGATAGTACTTTGTGGCCTATGAGGCTCATTAGAAACCCTACAAGCAACTTCTTTATGAAAGGAGGAAACTGGCAGAACAAACATGGGATTTCTATTTTCAGCTGGTTTAGAAGACAGAAAAGCAGAACAATAAACCGCAGTAATCCACTCTGGCGTCACAAAAGTTTAGCCTAAGAATGATGATGTTCTTCTTTCCTTTTACCTCTTCTCAGTAATTAAAAAATCACAATGCTTTACCACACCCATTTCCAGCAAGTGGTGTTTGGAGTATGGCTAACCACTAAGAAAAATAGTTAACTTATTACCTCGCATTTAAAGTCAACACGTAAAATATGGCAAAAGACACAATGAAATAAATTAAAAGACAAATGACAAACATGTCATTGCAAATGTAACAAAGAGTTAAAATTCTTATAATGCATAAAAAGTTCTTACAAATCAATAAGAAAAAAAAGACCATCCCAATAAGAAATGGTCAAAGGATATGAAAAGATATCACATGAAGAAACACAAAAGGCTAATCAATGAAGCAATGCTCAATTTCAAATTTAAAAACACAAATTCTGTATCATTTTTAACTTAGAAGATTGGAAAAGATATTTTTCAAAAAGATTTTAAAAAATAGGTTTAGTAACTTTCCCTTTGGGGATTAATTCAAAGGAAATTACAAGACTAGGGTCCAAAAACATATGTGCAAGTATGTTCATTACAGAATTGTTTATGAGTTTAAAAAATTGAAGTTATTTATTCTAGCATTGGGGATTGGTCAAATAAATCAAGGTATATACATTCTTTTACTTAGCAATTCTGCTAGAATCTACCCCTTGGGATAGTCCATAAAACCAACAGTTCTTAGAGACACAAAGATGTTTATTTCAGCAGTTTGTACAAGGTAAAAATGGCATGGGACACCCACACCACGAAGGGAGCAAAAAAACCCTGCATGCTAATGATCACATTTATGCATCCAAGTAAGATACTGTGTGTACATACACACATGAAATAAAAATAACAAAGTGGTAGTCTATAGAATACTGCGCAGCTGTAAAGGATAGTTTTATATTTTTATATGAAAATATGACCGTATATGAAGAGAACATGACCCCATTTATGTAAATATATATAAGGTTGTTTAGAGATATTTCAGGACGCCAAGTACGTTGACAATGACCTTTGAAGACCCATTCCACAATGGACCCCCATCTAAAAGTTGAGTTGGTGTTATTTGACATAAGATTTGGTTACATAGACATTTATTTAAAGCAATATTAAGTTTGATTTTGCCCTTGAATAGTTCCCAATTGTACTTTTTCTATTTATGCATGGAAGGTTAAAGACCCGCCTGGAGCTACACAATGCAAAGTGCAGAGCCAATCAGCAAGTCTTACAGAGCTACTTTGCTGGGTTTTGTATTTTCAAACAATCCTTGAATCATAAACGTGTCGGGGGCAGTGGGTGTGAAGATGCTTGGGACTGCAGGGGAAGCAACTGTGCACGGAAGCCTCCGAAGGTCTTCCTGTCAAAGGCCTAGTCACTGGGACATCCTGCGACATTTCTGCGCCTTGGCTCTCACGCACTTCTCAGAGAGGGTACTTCGACAGTCCTTCTAGGACCTCCAGCCAATGGCTACACTTCTCCTCTCAGCCCTAGCAACTCCGGGCCAATGGGCGTTAGGTTATCTTTCGAGCCACTGTTCTTTTCCAGCCAATCGTAAACGTTCTTCAAATGCCCCTCTCCGAGGTGCGCAGGCCCCAGGGAAGCTGGTTTCACTTCCGGGTGGCAGCGACGGGCGGCTACGCGTGTTGCCATAGCGACCATTTTACGTTAACTGGTTTGTAGCTTCCGTCCAGGTAGCCGGGAGACTTCGGGGGCAGCTCTTCTCCCCTTCTCTCTGCGCTCCCTGCGGCCGAAAGGCTTTAGTGCGCTTCGGGGGTCTTGTCTAGGATTCCGCGGCGCCCCGCGGGGGTGGGATGGCTGCGGAAGAAGAGGACGAGGTGGAATGGGTGGTGGAGAGCATCGCCGGGTTCCTGCGAGGCCCGGACTGGTCCATCCCCATCTTGGACTTTGTGGAGCAGAAATGTGAAGGTAAAACCCAGAACCCGAACCAACAATCCTTTCTCGCCTCTCACACCAGCAGTCGGCAGGGAGGTGGTCATCACTCACCGTGTCTCATCTGCCGCGTCTCCACCCCTGTCCGCCAGATTTAGAGCCGGTTTGTAGGAGGTATTGCTGTCGCTGCGCCCATGATCCCTTAGTGGAACTGAAAACAGGGACCGAGACTTCCCTCCCCCGGGCCCGAGCACACATGCCAACAACATTAGACTTCAGTCCTTTGTTGAGTCTCGGACCCCATCCTGCACGTTTCTGCCCTGGGCAGGTGCACTGTTTGGGTGGGCTTCAGCACTTTCCCGGAGACTTGGAAGGAGAGGCGTCAGTTTGCCTGAGTTCCTTCTGATCCCAACAGTTGACTGCAAAGGGAGGCATGTGGTTACTCCAGCAGGCCCAGAGCTGGTGATCCGGGTGGCCTGTATGTATTCCCTTTATTGAGCTCCCTGACTCTCGGCTGTACCAAAAATGGGGAGTATCTTCTAGCAAATGAGGTATATAAACGTGGCATAAAATTCCCTGTGAGGGAAGGGCATCTCCAGGTTCTGAGGAGACGAGTTGGAGCCCATTCACCGAAAAGGAACCAGAAATCACGTCATACGAATGAAGGCCGGCTGTTATCGCGGTGGTTTAGCGGGGCAAGACTTGGAGGGTAGTAATATCCATCAATCATTTGAATGTCTGTCTTATGTTGGAAGGATTAGACTTGTTTTGTAAGGTTCAGTGGGATAGAGCTAGAGCTAGGGTCAGTGGGTACAAGCTATAGGGAAACAAATTTCTATTAAGGAAGTGTTTCATAACAGAATGGATCCCAGATGAGTTAGCCTGCCTCCGAAGATAATGCGTCCCGAGGCACTAGCAGTGTTTGAATGGATGTGACCGCAAATTAATGGAGATCTTTTTTTTAAAGCCTTCATATTTCCTTTTTCTCCCCAAAGCCCCCCGGTACATAGTTGTGTACTTTTAGTTGTGGGTCCTTCTAGTTGTGGCATGCAGGACACCGCCCCAGCATGGCCTGACAAGCGGTGCCATGCCCGCGCCCAGGGCCCAGGATTCGAACTGGTGAAACCCTGGGCCTCCGAAGCAGAGCGCGCGAACTTAACCCCTTGGCCATGGGCGGGTCCTAATGGAGATGTTATAGAGGGGAATTAAACTATCAAATGGTTGGTTATCCTGGAGGACCTTTTAAGAATTCTTTCAACTCTAAAATTCCATGAATCTGGTAAAGATGAAATTTAGTTTGATCACTGAAGCTTTTCATTATATTCTCATTGCCGTAATCAAAATTCAAATAGTTTTTATTAAGTATTGTTTTTACAGGTAATTTTTTAAAAGTTCGAAATAACTTATTTGTGCTTTTTTTAAAGAATTTAAAATGCTGTTATGAGACTGATGAAATATGGAGTTCTGACCTCCTTTAGGAGAAGAAAGAAATTGTTACGTTTTGATTCCATTTACCTCACTGCTGAAAGGAAAAAAAATTAAAGCATTGTTCTTCCTTATATCCCCAAACATCAAAAGGGGCTGCATCTCAGTAGTAACACACCTGATTGTGTAATTTTACAGGGAAGCAGTAATCCTCAGCTTTATGAAGATGGAATGTAGTAATTTGATTTCAGAATTAACTGAAAACAGCTTAGGTAGTTGCTGTATTGCGTGTATGCCCAGTGTTATATAGAGCAGATGCCAGCAGTTATGGAAGTAACATCCCAGTGACAGTTAAAATAACAGTGTTTATATACTTCACTGACTTTACCACCTCAGGTAATTTGAAGATTAGTTTTGTACAACTTTGTGATATCAGCATTTATTTCAGCAAACATTTATTGAGTGTTCTTGGGCCAGAAGCTGGGGATAGAAAGATGAATACAACAAATTCCTTGTGCTTCAAAGGTTTATATTTAGCAAAGACAGGCAGGTAAATAAAATTTAAGTGTAAAGTGGCAAATGTTATAATAAGGCTAGGCACGTGGTGCTGTGTAGTATAAGAGTTCAGAGGAAGGGATCTAACCAGCCTAGGAGTAGGGAGTGGGTAGCAGATCACGGAGAATGTGCCACCTGCAATGTCTGGAAGAATGGTTGGGAGAACAGGGGTGGAGTAAAGGCAAAAAGATCTAGGGAGAGATGGCTTGAGCAAAGGCATGGGGCTTTGAAACACTGTGTTATGTTTGGTGGTATTCCAAGTAATTGTGTATTGTTAAGAATGCAGAGTTTAGGTTGTAGAGTGGTGGGACATGAGACTTGGGATCCAGTCTTGGAGGGTTTTGTCTGGCCTTCTAAGGATTTTGCACTTATTCTCTAGGCAAAGAGCAGTCAGTTAAGAGTTTTAAGTAAAAAATTACAGAAGTTAATTTTACGTTTTAGAAAGCTTATTCAGCAGGAATTAAAAAAAAAGTTTATTGTTTACAGTTCATGTATTTGTCCTGTTTCCCTAATTAGATTGTAGCTTCTCGAGGGAATATATTTCTTTCTAAGCTACGTTGTTTCACATTTGTTTTGATTTTATTTATTTTAACTTCATTATTAATTTATATGTAAAAAAAATGTCCTAGTCACTTTCAGTAAAGTTTGCATCAGCAGAGTTTCAGTATGGTAAAATAATCTGGAGCCTGTTGTAAAAGGAATTAATGTTTAAAAACTATTAAAAATAATATTCCATTAAAAGTTTATAAAGACATTGTTGTCTTATTGATTGAAAAGTAGAAAATTAGTGTTTGTCTTATATATGAAGTAGATCTTAAGTAGGAAAAAACTTGTTTACAGTGAACGCTATATATATATAAACATATACATACTTTTTATACTTTATATATGTACTTTTTATACTTTATATATGTGTATATATGTGTAGGTATATACTTTATATACATATATAAACATATATATACTTTTTTCTTTTTAAACCCAAGAACTCAAAGTTGAAGAGCTACGTTATAAAAATAAGAGTTCTATTTGTAAGATGTAAAGAGTGGGCTTTTATATTTGCATTAATGAAATGATTTTTTTTTACACTAAAAATATTTTTCTTTTAAATTTAGTTTTTGATGATGAAGAAGAAAGCAAATTGACTTATACAGAGATTCATCAAGAATACAAAGAACTGGTGAGTATTTTTTTTCACCGATTTTTAAAGGTAATTAGAATAATAATTTTAGTTCTTCTAAATTAAAAAAATAGATTTTTTCCATTAAAATTCTTTGCTTAAAAAAAATCAGATCTACCCTAATAACTACCAGTTGCATCAGCCTCCAAGTGTTCTCGGAACATCTCATCCTTATGACTTCTTATCTCTTTTACCCTAGAATCTAAGGAATGGGTGTAGGACAACTATTTTACCCTTAAAATGCAACTAATCTTGCATCTAATCTTTAAATTTTGTTCTTATTCTTCTGCTGATGCATTCAGGCAAGTGTTAATTATTTATTTAGCCATGGTTGTCTTGTGATTTTTAAAAATGCCTCTGGGTAGCAGAAGAGTTGTACCGTATTGAATGTCATAATCTGGACTTCCGTTATTTCTAGTAGAAGAAATAAAATTTCATTTAATTCTCTGTAAAAATTTTAACTTTATGCTGTTTGTTTTTTCAGTGAAGGACATTGTCACTGCCACGTAATATAATTTTATATAGATTAATAATTGCAAGCATGCTTTTGATTACACTTTTCTAAACTCGATACTTAACATGAAAACTATCATTTGGAATTTTTCTATGTAAATTATAAAAGTTAAACTTTCTCTTTTTAGGTTGAAAAGCTGTTAGAAAGTTACCTCAAAGAAATTGGAATTAATGAAGATCAATTTCAAGAAGCATGCACTTCTCCTCTTGCAAAGACCCATACTTCACAGGTTTTTGCTTTTGTGTTATTCTGCTAACATATAGTTTTAACAAAAATGCCCAGGGTTTCACTTAAATTTTCTATGTTTGATTATCAAAGTATAATATTCTTGACATTGTAAGAGTGAAAAGCTAACTCATCACATATGGGTTCTTTTTTATAACTACCTTGAGAAATGATAATTTGAGGCATTAATGAACTGAGGCAATTAAAAAGGAACTTTCTAAACTCAGATCTATAATAGATCACAGGGTTTATTCAAACTACTGTTTTATTTATATAGATCTCTGACAGTTTTGCCCTTGCCCCCTTTTTAATGTTAGCAGATCCAAATTACACAGTTGCTGGGGCTTCCTTCTCTTGGAACTACTTTTATTGTCTCCTTAGTTGTGCAGTACTGGACTGAAGTTGATATTACATGTATCTATAACTAATATTTACTGACGGCTCATGCCAGCTGCTATTTAAGCACTTGACATATATTATCTCATTTAAACTTCCTGACACCCTTTAAGTAATTGGTATTATTTTACTTCCATTTATGAATGAGAAAACTAATGCACAGATATATTAAGCACCTAGTGCAGATCCACAGCTAAGTAAGCAGTAGAGCCAGGATACCAGCCCAGGAACTCCAACTAAGAGCCCTTGCTTAGAGGGTGAGGACAGGGCTATGTTACTACAGCCCAAATAGCCTTCTAAAAATTTGCTTTAGCTTTCCCGTCTTCTATCAAATAAACTATAGTTCCTTAATGAGATGGTAGTGAGGATTTTTTGTGACGTGACCCCAAATTATATTTTCAGCCTCTTTTTTTTCTGCTATAGTTCTCCAATACATTATGTACCACAGTCTTCCAGACCACTCACTCTTGTCAACATCCTTGCACCTGACTTTGCTCATGCTATTATTCCCTTAACCTAGAACGTTCATCCCCTACCTCTGCACCCACCATCCTTTCCTTACCCAGAGAAATCGTTCTCATCATAGGGCCTGGCTAGTGTGTTAGTTCTTACAGCAGCTTTCCTATCTCTCTAGTCAGACTAGTGCTCATTCTACTTCACTGGCTACTTTTACGTTTTTGGTACTCTACCTTGAATTACAGTTTCTTACAAATCTGTTTGCCTTATTAGACTGTAAGTCCTTTGAACTGTTTTAGTATCTTTGCATTCCCAGCATCTAGCACAGAGGTGAGAACTTAGTTCCCAGTAGGTGTAGTTCTCAATAAATGTTTACTTAAATTATCTTCTTATTGTGGCCCAGAAGAGGTTGCTTTGACTAGTACTTGATCCTGTACTTCCTGCTACAGTTCTTTTTTGTACAGCTTTTGCTTATTTAACGATCACCTTTAATTCTAAAGATAGAAAATATTTAATATAACATGATAGTTAAAAAAATATTTAAATGTTATTGATATGCCCACACTAATGTAACAAACATCTGATTTTATTAGTTAATAATTCTATAAAGCAAAAGTTGTTTTATGGTTCACTAATAGCTTTTATTCTATATATACCATAGTTTTAGTTTAAGGAATAATAATAGGCATTATTTTCTTCTCCTTTTTAGTTCAATAGGAAGAATTTGAAAATTATTAACTAGTCTTTAAATTTCTTTTAATACATTGGTATTTGTTTTTATTTTCCTTGTTTTCCAGGAATATTTTCTGCTTCGGTTAATATTTGTCAACCCCATTAATTAAGCCATTGTGAATGAGTCTGAATTACTTTGTGAATAAAGATTTTCACAGTTTAATAGTAGACACATCCATCTTTTGTTTTCAGTATCAGGATAACTTTATTTGTGAATGAAGATGTTCAGAATTTTGAAATGTTTTCAGATCAACAGTAACACGTCTTTCTCTTTTCTATCATACAACACCTTTTGATTTGTTTGGAGTTGATTGTAGTACAGCCTGGTTATGTACAAGGAGGCAAGCATTTTCACACAGACAGACCTAGATCTGAGTCCTAGATCTTTCATTTACTAGCTGTAAGACCTCGGACAAAGGTGGTTTTACAGTTTTCCTTTCCTATCCATTCTGATTCTCAGTTTGCACATCTGTAAAATAGGGATAGTATCTACAGGCATACCTCATTTTATTGTGCCTTGCTTTATGGTACTTTGCAGATATTGTGTTTTTTACAAGACCCTTCACTAGCAAAGAGGTTATAACTCACTGAAGGCTCAGGTGATGGTTAGCATTTTTTAGCAATAAAGTAGTTTTTAATTAGGCATGTACATTTTTTTAGACATAATGCTATTATACACTTAATAGACTACAGTACACTGTAAACATAACTTTTATATGCACTGGGAAACCAAAAAATTCATGTGACTTGCTTTATGGTGATATTTGCCTTATGGTAGTGGTCTGGAACTGAACCTGCAGTATCTCTGAGGTATGCCTGTACTTTGAAAAGTTTTTGTGCAATTTAAGAAATAATTTTTATGAAACATGAGCACAATACCTGACATATATAAAGTGGTCTATAAATGGAAGCACTTCTTAATTAACAGTAGCTATTTTGGTAGTTGATTAGCAGTGTGCTAATTAGGCCAGGGTCATGGATTCAATCCCCATGTGGACTAGTTAGCTTTATTCTCTTCTGGAGCAAACTCAGCACCAGATACTGAATAGCAACATGACTGAATCAGCACAAGGCCATCACCATTACCAGAAAAACAGCTCAAAGCACGTTATGTACTACTTTGCGGTAATAATCTAATCTTTGTACATAAAGATCAGAATGCTGATTGTATTATGCCAATATGGGGTACCTAAAAATGAACTCAAGAAACCAATTGCTTGCCTTGAGTAATTTAGGAGGTAATTTTTATTTTGTTTTGGTTTGCTTTTGATTTTTTACACTAGCTGCTAGATCCCATTGAATTGTACTGCTAAAAGCCAACTTGCAAAATTCTTTTTACATGGTTTGGTCATCATTAGACCTAGACCAGTGTCCTGGCATACTCTTGTGTGTTAAAGTCAGCAGGAGTGGCAAGGAGTGCATCAGATGAAGAACTCTAGTTTAAAACAATAAAATCTTTTTCAGAGGATGTTTTCCTGTTATGTATGTGTGCTTTCTTAAAAAATGCTTGTGAATTAGGATATCTTTCTAAACAGTTCAGAAGAAAATGATAATAAATACTGATATATTTATTAATTCAGTTGTCTTCAGTTAATATTTGTAATTTTGTAGTCTTTTCCAATTGAAATAGGCAAAAGTGACTTGCTTCATTGTTATGTGATCTTTGGGTAAGGCTCATTGATTTCTATGTATTGCAAAAGCCGGGGACTTCTATATGGCAAGAGACAATCAGTATTTTTTGCTTTTCTTTTTGTTTCTTACTTGATTTGCTTTGACTTTTATAACATAGAAATTAATACTTTCAGAAACGTTTGTATTATAATAATAGTAATTTGGGAAAACCACACTTTTTCCCAATAACTTGTGTTGTTGAAAAGATTACATATACGGTGAAACTTTCATTTTCTAAAAATACAAACAGGATAGTTAACGATATTTTGTATGAGTGCTAGTAAGATTTCAAAAAATTAATAGACTTTATTTTATAGAGAAGTTTTAGGTTTACAGAAAATTGAGCAGATAGTACAGTGTCCCTTATTATAAACACCTCTCATTAGTGTGGTATATTTGTTACAATTGATGAGCCAATATTGATACATTATTATTAACTAAAGTCCATAGTTTACATTAGGGTTCACTCTTTGTGTTGTATGCTTCTGTGGATTTTGCCAAATACATAATGTCATAGATCCATTATTACAATATCATACAAAATAATTCCACTGGCTTAAAAATCCCCTGTGCTCCACACATTCATCCTTTCCATCACTGCCCCAAGCCCCTGGCAACCACTGATCTCATACAATTGGGATCATACAGTTGTAGCCTTTTCAGACTGGCTTCTTTTGCTAAGCAATATGAATTCAAGTTTCCTCCATGTTTTGTGTTGTTTGATACTTCATTTCTTTTTATTGCTGAATAATATTCCATTATATGGATATACCACAGTTTATCCATTTACCTTTTGGAAGACATTTGGTGGTTTCCAGTCTTTGCTAATTATGAATAAAACCACTATAAATCGTATTTAGGCTTTTGTATGGACATACAGTTTTCAATTCATCTGGGTAAACAGGAGTAGATTGCTGGATTATATGTAAGATTAAGTTTAGCTTTGTAAGAAACTGCCGAACTCTCTTCTGAAGTAGTGTACCATTTTGCATTTTTACCAGCAATGAATGAGAGTGCCTGTTGTTCCACATCTTCGTCATCATTTGGTATTGTCAGTTTTTTGGATTTTAGGCATTCTAATAGGTGTGTCGTGGTATCTCATTGTTTTGCTCATTTTTAATTGTTTCCTAATTGTTGAGTTGTAAGAGTTCTTTGTATATTTTTGATACGTTTCCTTTATCACAGTATGTGTTTTGCAAATATTTCACAAAATTTTCCTCTGTGGCTTGTCTTTTCATTCTCTTAACAGTGTCTTTTATAGAACAGAAGCTTTTTATTTTAATGAAGTCCAGTTTATCAGTTTTCTTTCATGGATTATGCTTTTAGTGTTGAATCTTAAGAAGTCATTGCCACATCCAAGGTTATCTAGATTTTCTCTGTGCTACATTCTAGAAGTTTTATGGTTTTGTTTTTTACATTTAAGTCTGTGATGCATTTTGAGTTACAGTAGTTCCCCCTTATCTGTGGTTTTGCTTTCCATGGTTTCAGTTACTTGCAGTCAACTGTGGTCCGAAAATATTAAATGGAAAATTCCAGAAATAATTCATAAGTTTTAAATTGCATGCCCGTTCTAAGTAGTGTGATGATGTCTTAAGCTGTCCTGCTCCATCCTGCCTGGCATGTGAATCATCCCTTTGTCCAGCATATCCCTCCTGTATACACAACCCACCTGTTAGCTTGTTAGGAAAAAACATAGTATATGTAGAATTCAGTACTATCTGTGGTTTCAGGCATCCACTGGGGGTCTTG